ATGATGGAATTAGGAATTGAGAAGAAGTCCCGAGAAATTTGAAAAGGTTCGTTAATTAAATAAACAGATACATATGCCTCGTTTTTCCTCTGTAACGAGGCTGCTTTTTCAAAGGCATCACTCTTTGGCAAGAGCCTGTTCCTGCCAGACTCTTTCAAAGTAATACAATTAGACTGTCAGGAGTGAACCATTCTTTTTAATGAACTAAGTCAGCTCTCTGACTGATGAGATGCATCTCTAAAGTCCACACAAATGACGGCCTCATTTTTTTTAAGGCACTGAGTATTTTTACGTCCCCCCGGTTTGAGTGTGCTTGTCACAATGTGCCAGTGCACGTTTACTCCTACCCGTTCTATATGCATGTCTCCACAAAGTCAGGTAGTGACCCCGCCTCAAAAACAGGTGAAAAATATTTGCCTGTTGAAACTGGGCCTAACAAGACTATCAACAACAACAAAACCCTCAAGCCTTTTAAGGATTTTGTCTATTTTAAAAGCTAAGGATTTTATTTAACTGATTGTCATACAACTGCATGATTCAAACGAAATAGCCCCACGAAGGCCCTTTTTTGCCACAGTAACCCTGAACCAAAAGCGTACAGTTCTGCTGACTGTGATAATAGAAGATTAATAGACATCTTAACCACTCAATACGGAGTGGTGAGTTGTTAGGCAGGTTACTTAAAATAACCCCTAACGCTGTCTGTGGCTGTGCTGATAACTATGCCTCTCGTGCAGGCAGTATAGCTTTTTAATATGCTTCGTTAACACGTTACCTTTTAATAACCAAATATAAAGTATGTCGCCAACCAGCAGGAGGAATTCAGGCAGATTTCAGTCACTGCGAGCCAACTGATCATACTAAGCTGTGCGGGCGGGAATCTTTCTGTGTTTCCACCTGAAGTGTTCATATATGGGAGACAGAAAATGAGTCAAAGCGTCTGATGGTTTTGATTCCCAGATAGGACTTGACTTAATTCCCACTGCAGGCAGGGGCTGTGCGAGAAGCGGTCAGCTGCTAACGCTTTAAAAACGTGTATGTGCTCTCCTGATACCTAATGTGGTTTCTTCTGAATGGCCAGTGTATGATGGAGCAGCAAAGGGTCAATGCACCAGTATTGCCTTGATAGTTGGAAAAAATGCCCCCCCCCAAAAAACCCTGTCTGTAGTCAGTGCTATAAGAAGTCATTAAAAAAAACAATAACCTTGTTCAATATAAAACATTTTGTCCAATCTGCTAAGCTTAGAGGGTGTCCGGTGTCTAAGGAGATAAAAGTAGTAAGTGCAGATGCAGTTCTGGAGTGAGCTAGTCTGTCAGGTTGTTAATTAAACTCCCCTCTCAGGAAATGCTAGAAGCTAATAGATAACCACGGTGATGACAAGTCCTTTGCCTCAGCAATATATGTTAATTTTAGCATGAGCGTAATTTATACATTTTTGTAGTGGAGCAAAATGGGGGGGGGAGGGGCTTTTATCCTGCAAATGATTTTTTCAGGAGGTAGAGATGATCATGTTATACTACTTAAAAAAACAGAATAGCAAGTGAGAGAGAGAAATGTTTAATTTAAGCAGAGCCTTTAAACAGAATTAACTAATCGGAGACTTAGAACAGATCTGAACCATATTTGCAGACAGCTGCCAGGGGATCCTTTGCTTTGCCACAGATCAGTAAGCACAGAGTGCTAGTTAACAAATAGCTTGCGCTTGCTTCACTTCTATGTTAGGGTGGTTTAAAAGGATTTCTGAGAGTTACGTTGGTGTGAAATTAGGCCTGCTGCAGTTGCGAATCACACCTACAAGAAAAACAGCTGTTACATGCGACTGCTGGAAGATTAAGGCTGCTTTGGTAGCTGCACAGGGAAAGTGCAGTGAAGGACTGACTTGTACATAGGCCTGTGCCTGTGATCAATAATGTGCTTTCATGTGCTAGCTGTTCTCTTGGGGGCAATGATTAATGCTTTGCTCAGTACCACGGCAGCTTTGGCAATTTGGCACTCGTTATTAATA